GTCTGAATTCTTTACAATTTTGAATATCTATCCAAAGTTCTCTTCCTTTTTATTGAATCCATCTATTGGATGATCAGAACACTTGGTAGTCATAGCTAATTATAGCCTTATCTGGACTGGCCTCGTCTTGGCTGATCAATCTGATCTGCCACTGGAATAAAGGGTCCATGTTGGGAAATAATTGGCCCTTCTCTAATCCAGCCTCCTCTCCTCCATGCCTAATCTTAGGTATTTTCCAAGCTCTTTCCTTACTTAGAATATTCTACTTCTTTTCTGACCATCACTACAAAGACTCCACTGAAGTTCTAGCTACACTGTGAACTACAAGTTAACTGAAAACTCTAGTCTGCTTGGATCACCCCTTCCTCTCAACTCGCATTGGGGTTTACGTATGAGAATACAGTGTGGGTTGACTATTCAGTTACTCTTTAAAGTACATTTAATGTGTAAACCTGGCCTCTCCAAAGTGAAGTTAGATTCTTGCCCAAATAATATGTTTTTCTTAAATTGTATTAATGTAGTCAATGCTCTTCAGCCAAAGACCACCAGAAGCACACTGTAGTTGAACAAGTTGGATTTTTTGTTGCTTGCAATGAGGAAGATTGCACATTGTGGAGAATTGTGGAGTGTATTATCAAGAGACTATGAGGAAGATCTTATCAGATTTGGGATTGTGTTAGGTGATTTGGGGCAGGTTATCAGGAAGTGGGGAACTCTGGTAGTACCTAAAGCGTTTGGCTTCTAACCAGAAGACTGGCTGTTCAAACTCACCAGCCACTCCTTGGAGGGAAGGTTGGGCAATCTACTTCTGTAGTGATACCACCTCGGAAACCCAAGGAGTCATTGCTATGAGTCAGATCCGACTCGACGGCAGTGAGTTTGGTTTGGTTTTGACCAAGAAGTGGACTTTGCCATCAGGATGCTGGGAATAATGTTATAATTGGCTATTTTAATAAATCTTGAATAAAGGCTAAAGAAGCAGAAGTCACTCATACTAACCAGGAGAGGGGGATATGTGGTATTTTTGTGATTTGCACAGTGACTTTGCGTTTGTCTATTCTCAGACAAGATATACAGTGGTTTTCTTTTTGTCTTGATCTATCACAGTCATAAAATGATCTTAACTCTGGCCAAGGAAGAAATTGACATGGCCAAGACCCTGATTTGGAATTTCAGCCTCCAGAACTCCAAGAAAATAAATTTCTTTTCTTTGTTGATGTTGTGTGCAGTCAAGTCAATTCTGACTCATGACCCTATATGACAGAATAGAACTTCTCCATAGGATTACCCAGGTTGTAATCCTTACGTGAATCACAAGTAAGTTTTGCTGAAAATGATTCAAAAATCATTGCAGCAGTACACAGACAGGGAGCTGCCAGAAACTCAAGCTGGATTCAGAAAAGGATGTGGAATGAAGGATATTATTGCTGATATCAGATGGATCTTGGCTGAAAGCAAGAATACCAGAAAGATGTTTACCTGTGTTTTATTGATTATGCAAAGACATTCGACTGTGTGGATCATAACACAATATGGTTAACATTGGGAAGAACAGGAATTCCAGAACAGTTAATTATGCTCAGAAGGAACTGTACATAGACCAAGAGGCAGTCATTCAAACAGAAAAAGAGGATACTGCATGATTTACAATAAGGAAAGATGTGCATCAGGGTTGTATCCTTTCGCCATACTTATTCAATCTGTATGCTGAGCATACAGAAACTGGACTATACGAACTAGACTGAACAGGATTGGAGGAAGACTCACTAACAACCTGTGATATGCAGATGATACAACCTTGCTTGCTGAAGGTGAAGAAGCCTTAAAGCACTAACTGATGCAGATCAAAGACTACAGCCTTCCGTATGGATTACACCTCAGCCTAAAAAACTAAAATCCTCATAACTGGACTAATAAGGAGCATCATGATAAATGGAGAAAAGGTTGAAGTTGCCAAAATTTCATTTTACTTGGATCCACAATCAATGCCTATGGAAGCACCTGCCAAGAAATCAGATGATGTATTGCACTGGATAAATCTGCTGTGAAAGGACCACTTTTAAAGTGTTAAAGAGCAAAAATGTCACTTTGAAGACTATGGTATGACTGACTCAAACCACAGCATTTTTTAATAACCTCATATGCATATGAGAACTGAACAATGAATACAGAAGAATAAAAAACTGATGCATTTGAATCGTGGTGTTAGCAAAGAATATTAAAAATATTGCCTGAAGATTCAACAAATCTGTCGTGGAAGAAATGCAGTCAGAATGTTCCTTAGAAGCGAGAATGGTCAGATTTTGCCTCTCATACTTTGATCATGTTATCAGAAGGAACTGGTCCCAGGAGAAAGATATCATGCTTGGTAAAGTAGGGAGCCAGCAAAAAAAGGGGGAAGACCTCAACAAGATGGATTGACACAGTGTCTGCAAGGATGGGCTTAAGCATAACAAGGATTGTGAAGAAGGTGCAGCACTGGGCATTGTTTCATTCTGTTGTACATAAGGTTGCTGCTATGAGTTGGAACTGACTTGATGGCAACTAACAACACAACAATAGTCTTTGCAGGGGCAAATCACCATGTCTTTTCTCCCTCAGAGCAGCTGGGGGGTTTGAACCACCAACCTATCTGTTCTTTAAAGCCACCCAATTGTGGTATTTGTGTTACAGCAGGACTAGACAACTAGGACAGCACCCATTGTATGAAGGGCAGTTGGACGGTAGACACAGATGTGAGGCAGTCCTAGGCCACCAACTATACAGGTACCAATTATGCCATCTACTACATTTACTGCTTTACACAGTATTTCATTTAATTGTTACTGTGCCCCTAAAAATCATATTTTATTATGCCGACTTAACAGATGATGAAACTGAGGTAGTGAGGCTGAGAACTTGCCCAACACCACATAGAAAAGAAGATGATTTGAAGTGAGATTTCTCAGAGCCAACCTTCATTACATCTCTCAAGATCCAAGCTATCTAGGCTTAAATGAACCATTGAGTGACCCAATATATATCTGTAAGATCAAATCTTTTGGCCCCAGTCAAGCCTTCAGATGACTCTAGTCCCAGACAACATCTTGACTGGGTAGTTGCTGACCCACTGAACCTGAGAAATAATGTTTACTGTTTAACATAGTTATGTTCTGGAGTAATTTGTTATTCAGCAAAAGATAACTAATACGGTGCTATTAGATTAAGCCATGAAGATGGGGGTGGGGCAGAAGAAAAGGATATGAATTATGGAAAGTCCCTGCCTAACAAAAAGAAAAACTACAAGAAATTCCCTTCTGGTCCAGGGGATTATAAGAAAGCCAAGAGACACAGAGATGGGAGACTGGTCAGGAGACCTTCTGTTCTGGGTCTAAAGTTCTGAGGTAGAGGTTCTCAGTGAAGTTCCCGTTTGGAACTATAGGAGGAGGATGTCTCCCCAAATGTAACAACCCTGGGCTCTCAGCTCTCTTGTGGTATGGAAGAGACTAGGAAGTTCCCACAAGCTCCCAAGAGAATAAGAGGAGTTCACTGAGTATCTGGCTGGGGAGCTGCCAGAGAAGATCGCCGCTGTGGTAATCAGGCAGAGTGACCCAAACCAGGGTCAAATAGGAGTCATGGTCAGATCTCAGGAGTACCGCAGAGCCAGCAAGAGCTGAGGAAGAGCCAAGTCAGCTGCAAGGGCCATGGAGCCCCTTGGAAGCTGAGAGAATACCTAGCACAAGTCACACAAGTTACGGACCTTAGCATCAGATGTCTGCAAAACATCCAGGGACAAGAAAGACCCATAACAATGAGCAGGAACTCACGAGTCCCCACTTTGCCCTAATGTTTGAAGCCATGCAAGCCTCTAAGATACCCTCTTGGAGAGGAGAAAACTAGTAAGGGGAGAAAGGAAGAAAGGATAAGAGTGAGTCAACCAAAAAAGAGAATATTCCTGAAAAGATTGCTTAAAAGTATTTGATTGGACTAAATTCATTTCTCCCACCACTATCCAATGGGATCTGTGGGTGGGGCTTGAGAGGAAAATCACGTCAGTTATAGAAAAGAATGAGGTTAGAGTTTCTGGGCCTATCTATATCTAGTATAAATAAAAATGTGATTCCAACTCAGATGCTATAAAAATATACCATAAAGATTTCTGGAAGTTCAAAGTAGGGGCTCTATGCTGGATCTAGATAGAGCATGAGAATCAGAGGGGAGATTAAAGGTGGTCTAATCCCTGGGGTTTTCCTCTGCATGTGCCTTATCTGGTGGTACCACAGCCCTTTCCCTCCCCCCATTACCCCTCAAGTGTCAAGGGTTGGTACTGGAAAGATGACAATGACTTTGACAGATGGCTTATCTGGGAATTATAACCCATGGCCTTATTTTTAAAAGACTGTCACCAATTCATTGGCCCCAATGTGTGTATTACAGAGGAACAGCATGCAGGAATCAGAGCCGTAACACATTTGTTTTGTAGGTCAGAAGGTAACGCTTGTTTTATTGAAATATGTACAGACCGGGAAGGGAAGAGATCGTATTGAACTGTGGCAATGTACACAAAAGCATGTGTCTCCTCCAGGCTCCACTGTCCTGGACTGTCTTGCACGTGACTCTTTGGAATTTAATTGGGCTGGAGTCTTAGAAGTGGCCTCATGAAGGCTGGTTGCCTAATCAACCCTTTCTCAGCCAGAGCTGACCATGACATTGACACTACCGAAGGAAGGTGGGAAGGCCTCCAAGTCGGTTGAATGGGAGGATTTCTTTGCTATTCATGTTGTCTTTTTTGAAAGCCCTGTTGTCTTTCAAATGCCTTGTCCAAGCAGTCAGGGACACAGTGGCTTACCAGAAGACAATCTCTGCTCGGCCTCCATTTAGTGTTATCTCTGAAATCAGAAGTTGTGGTACAACCAAATTCAAGGGCAAAATCACACTTCAGGCTTACACTGTCTCAGGCAATATACATAGAACGTGGGTACAGGTGGATGTATGGGAAAGCTCCACACCTGGCCTAATGCTCATTTCATGTTTTTCTCAATCCAGTCTTTAAAAGGCAGCACCTTGGTGAAGGCTGTGTAGAGGCTGTGGCTGCATGTTTTATCGTAGCTCCAGCTGACGAGCCCCACTAGGTGCCAGCGCGGCTCAGGTGATGCCCGCCCCGGGAAGGACACTGCTGCAATGCCCCCTGTCTCTGCTAGGCAGATGTTAGAAGGGGCAGTGGGGTCCTGGCTGGCACAGAACATGTTATCCGTGACACTCACTGGGATACCGTGGTCTTCATGCTGCTCCTCACACAGCAACGAGTCCACCACTCTGACCACCCCTGAGCGCAGTGTATCGTTCTTGAAGCCAGGGGTCCTCACATCAGCCAGGACGTTCCAGCCAGCCACGGTGATGTGTGACTCCTGGAAGGAGGTGGTGAGATCACGCATGGCCGCTAGGCAGATGGACTGTACTCGGGTGCTGATGCGAGCCTTGTCTAGGAGTTTCAGGACAGCCATATCAGAGTCTAGCAGGATGGGATCATAGTTGGGATGCAAAATGATAGCAGAAATCTATAATACAAGGAACAGACAGCCAGAGTGAGTAGCCAATTCCACAGTGGACAAGAACAAGACAGCCCTGAGGCAAAATTATCTAAGAGACAGCTGCAATTATTTGGAGACGCTTTGCTCCAGGAGTTGTAGGAAGCAATTACACTATTTCCAAGGTTGTAAGCTGCACTGCCTATCAGACCCTGGCAGGTGGTGCTGGGTAAGTGGAGTGGATGATGTAGGACAGGGCGGGGCACAAGAGCATAGTGTGTCGTGCAGAAGAGGGGCCAGCATTTTAATTGTGCCAGACATTCTAAGATGGCGGATTTTTATCTGAAATGTCCTGATTTTTAAATTTTGGCAGATAACTAATTTAAAAAATTATGTTGGTGCTATGAAGTCACAAACCCTTGAAGCCTACCAGTTTGCAACGTCTGGTTTGCTGTAATCACTTCAAGCCAGTTAGCTGAAGTCACACCCAGAATGCTCCAGGAGACTTTCCACAAAGTCTTCCCTGATTGTCCCAATCATTGCTCATCATTCTCTTTGATGGAGGCTTCTAGGAGCTAACATCTGTGGTTCCCTGTATATTTTTTTATGTATATGTTCAGTTATTCCAATTACGTTTGAGTGCATTTCCTCAGGACTTCTCCCATGCTGCACTGATCATAATCTACTAGTCTGTCTGTGACTAGACTGTAGGTGTTTCAGGGCTAAAGTTTGTTCTTCCCCCGCCCCCTTTATTCATCTATTCTCTGTGAATAAAATGAACCATAGTATGATTATGGGAGCTCGATATTGTATGGCTGGACAGACGGGTGGGTGGGTGGATGAATGGATGGATGAAAGATGGACAGGGAGACAAATAAGGAGGGATAGGACACTATAAATTGATTAGGGGTGTCTTGGATAAAAATCTATGTCCCCAAAGCCTAGTATAGTGCCCTAAATGTAATAAGTGATTAATACATGTTTGATGACCATAATGATGTGTCTTTGTCTCTACCCTATTTAAAAAACAATTAAAGAGAAAAGACTCCATAGTCTTTCTCAATGCCCCTTTCTAGTATCCGTCAAATAAAATATTGAGCACCTACTATGTGTGGGGCTCTGGGTGGGGTGCTAAAATGCTAAGGTAAAAAGAATGTCGCAGCCACTGCTCTCATGGCGCTTAGAGTTTGTTGAGCCAGAGATCCGGTGTCCTAGTTGCAGCCCTCTCTCACCCTCAAGCTCTGGATGGTTTTCTCATCCCGGTCATCATCCCTGTAGAATTTCCCCAAGACGACTTTCAGGTCTGCTGTCTTGATCATGGTGACCTTCCCCAGGTTGGTGACGCAGTGGGCAGCAACCACCACGGTGCGCTCGTTGACCAGGGCGCCGCTGCACACCAGGAACCATGCGCCCTTGTGCAGGCTGCTCTCATCTAGCCCACTGGTCCTCCTGTAGATGGCTGCCTGCCATGGCCAGCGTATGCCCTGGGGGGTCTTCGGAGCAGTGATGTTCTCTATTTTCCCACAGACTATGGAGAAAACACAGGCTCAGTAAGATGAACTCAGATCTTCCCTATCCAAAGGAAAATGCATCACTCAACCAGGAGAGCACAAATCTGGACAGGTAGGCTCTATGGGCATGATGACCACCAAGCTAACTTCTCTTTCTCCCTTCCCTTTAAATATTAATCAGCCACCTTGATGTGGTTGGTTGTGAAGTCTGGGGTTAAAATTGGAGGCTTTGTAGTCAAATGAAACCTGGGTTCCAATCCCAGGTCTTTACTTACTATCAGTAGGACTTTGGGCAAGTTGTCTAATCTTTTAGAGCCTCAGTTTTCTTGCCTGTAGAGTGAATATAGTAGTAACAATTGCCTCATCCAGTCTTGAAGAGACTGAATGAGATGATGCATACAAACACTTAGCACAGATTCAAAATATCATGACTACTACTATACATATGACCACAAGGAACTAAGGCATACTGTTCCCCTTTGACAAAAAAGATGGGAAATGTAGCTTAATATGTGCAAGATCTTATTCCACATATCATCTCAATGATCCTCACCATAGCCTCATGGGGTCATTAATATTATCTCCATTGGATGATGAATATGAAAACTGGGCTTTAGAAGGGGTGAACAAGATCACAAATCTAGAAGCCCTTTGGCCTCTTTATTTCCTTTACCACTTGATGTTTTATGATTGTTCTCTCTCTTTTTCCCGAGTAAATCCTACTCTCAGGAAATGTTGTGACAGAAATAGCCACAGAAGGCATGCTCCTCCCCTCCCCCAAAAAATATATAAGATTTAATGAGTTAATTTGTGCTGGATCGTAAATTTAAACCAAAAGAAGAAAATTCTGGAATTGCAGCTGTCATCAAGCAAGGGACAGCACAGGAGGACCATTCTTTTGGGCAACGGGTCTCTTCCCAAAAGTCTTCAACCAGGATTGATTGCTTTTTACAGACAACCATGCAAAATGGAAAGGCGCTCTGGTGGCGTGGTGCCAAAGGTATTTGACTGCTAACTAGAACGTTGGTGGTTTAAATCACCAGCTGCTCCGCGGAAGGAAGACAGGGCAATCTACTTCCATAAAGATTTACCCCCTCGGAAACCCAGTGGGGGTTGCTATGAGTCTGTATCTACTCGATGGCAGTGAGTTCGTTTTTTTTTGTTTTTTTTTTTTTGGTATGCAGGATGGAAGCTGCTCCATCCCAAAGATGAGCCTTGACTCACTAGGGATGCAAGATGGAGCCCGCCCACTCCATTTCCCAGTCTTCAGACAAGTCCTTCGGCTGCTGCCCAGGCGGCGGTAGAAGGGTGAGATGCACTCGTACTGAAGCTGGGTGTGCAGATGTTGGTACCCAGCAGGCAAGTCTCCAAAGGGAAGAACTGGCTTCTTGGTAGGGGCGCCCTGCAGTTTTTGCTTGCTGAGTGCTGCTGAGTACAGCTGGTGTAACGGTGTCTCCCTGTGTCAGACAGGCCCAGACAAAGCAGAGTGAGAGGAAGTCATTGTGATTCCATTAGTATCCATGTCTATCCTCAAGCAGATATGTGTATGCAGAAGAAAATAATGATGGTCTCAGTCTGTCTGTTTCTCTCTCTCTCTCTCTCTCTCTCTCTCTCTCTCACAGAGAGACACACACGCACATACATTTCCAGTCTACCACTGAGCCAATTCTCTTAATTCTATTGCACTCCTCAGCATTCATTTTATTTCCCAACTTCCATTTCTGGCATCCCTCCAGCTATCTAGGATTTTAACCAAAGAGGATAATGTCTGGTATAATAGCTGTTATCCAAAGGTATGCTGTACCTGCACACAAAAGGAATTCATTGTGAAATTATAGCGGAAAGGGAGTTAATTTGAGAGAGAGAAATCCAGGCATATTTTTTTTCCTCTGAACATTATCATAATGGGACAATATCAGGAATTGACTGGAACTAAACTGTGTTGATACAGTAGCTTGATTTAGCAATTAGTGATATAATTAGCACACCTCAGAGAATAGAACTTTCTCGCAGGGCGCATTTATTGGGAGAAATATAGAGCTTTGTATGTAAATGTGAAAAGACTTATTAAATGAGCCCTGAAGTTAAAGCCCCAGAGACCACTTGAGGATTCTTGGGGGAAATTTGCACACATCCTACAGCTCCTGTTCATTTTATATTGGTACATAATGACCGTCAATTGGAAAGTTGGAATTCCTTTAGGAATTGATGTTTTCCTCCCCATTTAATGGATAGAGAAAAGAAGTACATAGAGGTAAGTGAGGGTGATCAAGGGCCCACACACAGTAAGGTAAAAGAGTACTCAAGACGGAGGTTAGCCATCATGGTTACCACCCTGCTGACTCTACCACATCAATTTTACTATCATCTTGAGAAATCTATTTCATGTGTCTGCATGGTACTTCACTCAGATCTACCATTCCATCCACAGTGATTTTATTCAATACATCTTTAGCCCATGTTTAGAGCCAAGTCTGTAGTTCAGGGAGCTTCTGAACTTGTTAATGAACTAATTTCATAGATGTTGAAGGCCTGTGTTGGCTTTGTGGTCTCCTCTGGGAGCCTGGCTGCTAGACACTGGCAGGCCCCACTCCAGCAACCCATCTGCCTGAAAGATACTTAACACCAATTTTTAGTGTTGTTTTTACATTCACATAAGACACCTGGCACCTAAAACAATTCTAATTGTTTTAAACTTGGGAAACCCCCTGGTCAGCTCAGAGGCTCCTTGGGAAGAACAGGTTTGCTTCACTTACTAGAGAGTCCAGCCTCAGGTAAACTACAAAGATCAAAAAAGAGGGCAGAATTTGAATTCCATTGCCACTACTTGCAAGGAAATGGCTTGTTTGAAACAGGAAAGACAGAAATGGAATGAGGTATCCTGAGAGGGTGAGAGCATTACACCTCTCCTGATCAACAGATATTCCAGGCCACTTAGTTGGGGTCAGTTCTAGCCACTGGAATCCATTGTTACTATTTCTAACAAGAACTTAGCTAAAGTGTAGTATGTAAGAGAGCAGAGCCTGAAGGCAGACGTTAGATTTTCACCCAAGGTTTGCCAATTCTCTAACAATATAACCTTGGGAAAATTACTTCTCTACACCTCAATTCTTCCATCTGTAACATGGTAATAATATGTGTAACTACCTCCAAGATTATGTTGTTGTTAGGTGCCTTTGAATCAGTTCTGACTCATGGTGACCCTGTGCACAACAGAATGAAACAATGCCTGGTTGTGCACCATCCTCACAGTCCTTGCTATACCTGAGCCCATTGTTGCAGCCACTGTGTCAATCCATCTTGTTAGGGCCTTCCCCTTTTTCAATGACCCTCTACTTCACTAAGCATGATATCCTTCTCCAGGAAATGGTCCCTTCTGACAACATGACTAAAGTAGGTGAGACAAAGTCTGGCCATTCTTGCTTCCAAGGAGCATTCCAGGACAGATTTGTTCATTCTTCTGGCAGGCCGTGGTATATTCAGTATTCTCCACCAACACCATAACCAAAAAGGCATCAGCTTTTCTCCAATCTTCCTTATTCATTGTCCAGCTTTCACATACATATGAGGGGATTGAACATACCATGCCTTGAGTTAGGCATAGAAGAGATATCTTTGTTCTTCAACACATTAAAGAGGTCTTTTGCAGCAAATTTACCCAGTGCAATACAATGTCTGATTTCTTGACTGCTGCTTCCATGGGCATTGATTGAGGAGCCAAGTAATATGAAACCTTTGACAACTTCAATCTTTTCTCCATTTGCTGCGATGTTGCTTATTGGTCCAGTTGTGAGGATTTTTGTTTTCTTTATGTTGAGGTGTAAACCATACTGAAGTCTATAATCTTTGATCTTCATCAGTAAGTGGTTCAAGTCATCTTCGATTTCAGCAAGCAAGGTTGTGTCATCTGCATATCACAGGTTGTTAATGAGTCTTCCTCCAATCCTGATGCCACATTCTTCTTCATATAGTGCAGCTTCTCGGATTATCTGCTCAGCATACAGATTGAATTAAGTATGTTGAAAGGATACAACCCTGACACTTTCCCTTCCTTATTTTAAACCATGCAGTATCACCTTGTTCTGTTCTAACAACAGCCTTTTGGTCTATGTACAGGTTCCTCATGAGCACAATTAAGTGTTCTGGAATTCCTATTCTTCACAATGTTATTCATAATTTGGTATGATTCACACAGTCGAATGCCTTTGCATAGCCAATAAAACACAGGTAAACATTTTTCTGGTATTCTTTGCTTTGAGCCAAGATCCACTGACACCACCAATGATATCCCTAGTTCCATGTCCTCTTCTAAATCCAGCTTGCATTTCTGGAAGTTCTGTAAATAACTGCTGCAACTGTTTTTGAATTGTCTTCAGCAAAATTTGACTTGTGTGTGATATTATTGTTTGATAATTTCCACATTCTGTTAAATCAACTTTCTTTTGGAAAGGGCACAAATATGGATCTCTTCCAGTCAGTTGGCCAGGTCACTGTCTTCCAAATTACTTGCATAAAGTAAGTGACTCCAGTGCTGCATCAGTCTTGTTTTTCACCACTTCCTTCGGTGCAGCTTGGACTTCTTCTTTCAACACTATTTGTTCTTGATCATATGTTACCTCCTGAAATAGTTGAACGCTGACCAATTCTTTTTGGTACCGTGACTCTGTGTTTTCCTCCCATCTTCTTTTGATGCTTCCTGCCTCATTCAATATTTTGCCCATAGAATCTTTCAATATTGCAACTTGAGGCTTGAATTTTTTTCTTCAGTTCTTTCAGCTTGAGAAATGCCAAGCATGTGCTTCTCTTTTGGTTTTCTAACTCCAGGTCTTTGCACATTTCATTATAATAACTGATTTTGTCTTCTCAAACTGCCTTTTGAAATCTTCTGTTCAGCTCTTTTATCTGGTCATTTCTTCCATTCACCTTAGCTACTTTCCATTCAAGAGCAAGTTTCAGAGCCTCTTCTGACATTCATTTGGTCTTTTCTTTCTTACCTTTTTAATGACCTTTTGCTTTCTTCATGTATGATGTTCTTGATGTCATCTCACCACTTGTCTGGTTTTTGGTCATTGTGTTCAATGCGTCAAATCTATTCTTCAGGTGGTCTCTAAGTTCAGGTGAGAGATAATCAAGGTTTTATATTGACTCTCATGGACTTGTTTTAATTTTCTTCAGCTTCAATTTGAACTTGCATATGAGCAACTGATTGTCTGTTCCACAGTCAGCTCTTGGCCTTGTTTTGACTGATGATACTGAGTTTCTCCATTGTCTTGTTCCACAGATATAATCAATCTGATTCCTGTGTATTCTATCTGGTGAGGTCCATGTGTATAGCCACCATTTATGTTATTGGAAAATAATATTTGCAACTAATAAGTTGTTGGTCTTGCAAAATTCTATCATGCGATCTCCTGCATCATTTCTATCAACAAGGCCATATTTTCCAACCACCAATGATTCTTCTTCGTTTCCAACTTTCACATTCCAATCACCAGTAATGATCAGTACATCTTGATTGCATGTTTGGTCAATTTCGACTGCAGAGATTGGTAAATGTCTTTAATTTCTTCATCTTTGGCTTTAGTGGTTGGTGCATATATTGGTCCTCTAGTGCTGCTCTAACAGAAAATACTACAAATGGATGGTCTTAACAAACAGGAGTTTATTTTTTTACAGTTTAGGAGACTAGAAGTCTGAGTGCAAAGTATCAGTTCTAGGGGTTGAGCCTCAACCTTGGACTTCAGCTCTGCTTCTTGTTCCTGGACCACAGAAGCTGGAGGTTTTTCTTAATTCAGGAAGCTGCTGGCTGCTGAGGCTGACAAACCAAATGTCAACAAATAAAATGGCACAGTCCCAAGATTACCAAACAACAGGACAAGTCACTAGTTCAAGTCCAGAGACAGTCCCAAGCTTGGCAGGAAAGATGGCAGCCTGCTGAATGAAGACTCAGTTATATGCAAGGTCCAAGCATGCCAAAAAGCTGCAGAGACCTTTTTCAAGGGTTTTTCTTATATACTAGAAGCAGCCCACATCCCTAAGGCAGCTAATCTACTGCTCCAGTAGATTCCACCATGGATTTGATTACTAATCTTATCATGGGGAATAACTGCATCCAGCTACCCAGCCACTGAAAACCAGGTCCAGCCAGGTTGACACATAACCTTAACTACCACAGTGCATAAGTTTGAATAATACTAGTATTAACAGGTCTTCCTTGTAGATGAATGGATATTATCCTATCACTGACAGCACTGGACTTCAGGACAGATCTTGAAACATTCTTTGTGATGATGAATGTGACGTCATTCCTCTTTCCTGGCACAGTAGACCATATAATTGTCTGATTCAAAATGGCCAAATACCAGTTCATTTCAGCTCACTAATGCCTAAGATATAGCTCTTTATGCATTCCTTTTCATTTTTGACAACTTTCAATTTTCCTAGATTCATACTTCATACATTCCATGTTTCAATTATTAATGGATGTTTTCAGCTATTTCTTCCCATTTTGAGTCATGCCTCATCAACAAATAGAGGTCCTGAAAGTTTACTCCATCCACGTCATGAAGGTTGACTCTACTTTGAGGAAGCAGCTCTTTCCCAGTTGTATTTTGAGTGTCTTCCAACCTGAGCAGCTCATCTTTTGATACTGTATCAGACAATGTCTCAGGGCTATTCATAGTTTTTCAGTAACATATGAGACAGTGTTTCACTGCTATTCATAAGGTTTTCACTGATCTTTTTTTTCCCCCAGACATGGATTATAGTGAGGATTAAATGAACTAATACATATAAATCACTCAGAAGGGCCACTGGCACATAGCAAACGATAAATGTTAGCTATTAGTATTGCATTTAATTCTTACAATAATCCCCAAATACAGATGTTTTTATGATTATCCCCATTTTTCCAAAAGGGGAAACCAAGACTAGGAAATTACCCAAGAATATCCAGCACTGGAGAGAAATGGAACCAGGCCTGCAACCTTTATTTGTCTATGTAATTTATTCATTCAATAATTATTTATTAAAGGCCTGCTATATGGCTTATACTGTTTTAGGAATGGGTATTCAGCATAAACAAAACAGATAATGTTCCTGTATTTGTACAGTGTGAGGTGGGAGTGGGGGAGACAGAAATTGAAGAAATAAACAAAATTATGTAAAAGACAGGTGGTGAGGGACGCAAAGGTGGAAGGTGAAGCGTATGGTAAAGGTTGGATGATTCTGGGTGGTGGGTGACATTGCTATTTTTAAAAGAGTTGTCTCTTTTTAAATAGCAGGGAAAGGCTCTCTGGCAAATGTCAACTGATCAGAGACCTGAAGGAAGTAGGCATTAAGTCTTGGTGACATCTGATGGAAGCAGGTTCCTGACAGAAAGAGCCCCAAGTATAAAGGCTCTGAAGCATAACTGTATTGAAATAATACAGGAAAAGCAAGGAGCCTACATGGCTGGAGTGGGGAGAGTGAGGCAGAGAACAGTAGGTGAGATCAAGACAGTATCTGCTCTACAATAAGGAAAGGAAAAGTACAGGTGGGTCTATTCTTTCACAACTAGGTGCTCCTCTTCTCCAGCTTTCCAGGAGAAAGGCTGGACATTCCTGGAGGCACCTACACCCTATTAAGGCTGGTTGTTTATCTCTTGTTCCAGGACTTCACCAGCCTCCCTCATCTAATTGGTTACTACCAAGAACATCTTCCTGAACCATCTCCAATTCTCCAGCTGCCACTGTGTCAACTCCAACTTCGGGCCACCCCACATGTGTCAGAGTGGAACCGTGCTCCATAAAGTTTTCAGTGGCTGAGATACTTGAAAGGAGATCATCAGGCTTTTCTTCTCAGGCCCCTCTGGGTGGACTTGAATAGCCAGCCTTTTGGATAACAGCTGAGCATATCAACCATTTGTACCACTCAGGGCTGTCCTAAACCCTAACTGATAGCATTTGGTAGAAATCCCATTTCCTTAGAAGCTGCTGTAATAAACACATAGTAATTCAGGAAGACTCAAATACCAAAATCCAGTTCCTCAAAGATCATCTTAAAGTGCTGCCTCCCACCAACCTCCTATTTTCCCATGATCCAAGGAATTTGTACATCTTCCAACAGTTGCTACCTCTTGGCTAAAGGCAGTCATCTAATGAGCCTCCATCAAACAAGCCCTGTTCTTTTATAACTGGTCAGCACTGAATGTCCCTAAGAGACTCTGGACTGTCTTTGGCCAAACACCAGTGGAAAAGGGGGATGGAAGGGAAAATATTCATTTGCTTTTAAAGCAGTTAGATGTTTCAACCTCACCTTGATTGAACCTGCATGGGAAGAACTCTCCGCCTCACCAGGTCTGAGATCTTTGGTTCTCGGCAGGCTAGAATGAAAAACAACACTGCATAATCCTTTTCTAAATTCACCATTCGCATCCATCATTTCAGATTCATCCTGACCACATTTCCCAGGTACCTAGTGCACATTCCCCCAGGTTCTCAGAGGAGAAACATACCAGTCAAGCTTGGGAAGCTCACTTAAAAAAAAAAAAAAAGGCAAGCTGCCTTTCACCTAATTGACAACCTTCTGCAGAACATTGAGAAACTAGCCAGTTGCTCTGGTCGAGTGACTTGGGGAAACAGTAGTTACTATATTAGGAGTATCTGTTCACATAAATAGTATTAGCAAACTTGACCAAAGTCAGAGTGAAGTTTCCAAAATGCAACTCAACATAAGAAATCAAAAGGTTCTTGTTTGAAACAGACAGCAGCATCAACCACAGGCAAGTCTTGAATAATTGAGTTCTCCATGTCCTTTCTCTGCAACTAAGATGCCTGACAATCATTTGAGGGCAACTCAAAGCACAGTTTCTTTTAAAGTTTCTCTTTCCTCACAATGAAAATGAATCCTTCCCATCTCACTTTCCCAATCAAGCAGCCAAAATTTGTCTAATTAACAACTTAGAGAACTTTGTTGTATCAATTTAGAAGGGAAGAATTGACAAAAATCTCCAAGGACGTATGTAACACCATTTCCATACTTAATGAAATCAAGAATCAGTGTCTGTACTGGTGGCAATAAAGGTTGCTTTTGGGTAAAGTCTAAAGTGATTTATTCCCTTCACAAACCATTCTCTTTCATTCCTTTACCAATGATTCAGGTTGTTGACAAACACCCAGAAGGGAAAGTGAAGGACTGAGGCAATTATCTGGATAATCTAGGCCAAGGACATGCTTTCTTCTCAGTAAGCAGCCAGATAATTCTGACTTGCCCCCAAAACAGAGGGAAACCAGTGAATAGAGACAACCAGTGAATCGATTTAATAAGAAACTACACATTCCCGCTGCCAATGTTCAAACATCTGTGTATAATTTTCCATTTTCCTAGGCCAACCAACCTTTCCCAAATTATCTCTCAGGCTCCCAGACTGTCTCACTTTGAGTTGACCATGATTTCATTTACTTCTGCCTGCACCACTTTTCTGTTCCTTTGTCTTCTATCTGGAATCTTATCCCAACTCTTCTTTACCTCTACAAATTCTTCCCAACTTTCCTTCCCGGTTCCAATGTTACCTGCTTCATGCAATGTCCCTGTTGCGGGCAATGTCAATCTCTCCTTTCTCTGAACTTCTGCTCCTCAGCTGTTCCTATGATTCTCCCTTGGGATTTTAAGGGTTTACGATATTTATTTTTAAACATCTTAACATCTCAAACCTCCCCCCTCATAGATTTGCAGGGATGATGTGTCTATTTAGTTCTTTTCTTTCTCTCTCACTAACTAAATATTAAATATAGGGTAGATAAATGTAACTTTATAAATGTTTATTTTTGCCTCAGTTCTGTCCGGATTTGCATATATGAAACTCAGCCCTATACTCAATATTGCACATAAAGTAGACCTTTTTTTAAAAAAAAAGTAGCTTTAAAAACACTTACTAATCGCCTCAACTCTGTCCTTAGGTTTACATGTATACAACTCAGCCCTGTCATCTTTCTTATGCAGCTAAGCTAAGAATATCATTCTTCTTGAACATATCAAGATGTTGTCATTAGGATAAACAGGTCCTTCTGAGGTGCAAAAAAGAAGGAAACATTTTTAAGGATAGTTTTCAACTTAAGAGTTATATATAGTTCCAGTGAGATCTTAAAGGAGAAAGGCACTTTTCTGGGGAATCAAAAACATGCTTGGAAGTTATCAGAAAGGCCAGCAACTCCATCTATTTCTACAGACTTCAGAAAAACCTGTAAGTTACCTTTTATGCAGATGGGCTGTTTCCCTGACCACCCTCCATTCTCCTGGCAAGTTCTCTTCTCATCGCCACTAAGAACGTATGAGTTGTTACAAAAGAAGGACACAACAGTGCCAATTTTTGCATGGTGCTCATTGAGAAGTCCGGGGCCTCCTGTGATTTTCTTGTATCCATTGACTGGGCCCCCAGGGTCTGAGCAGTTTCTTTCTTCAAGGACTAAAAGTGAAAATAAAGAAAAAGAGAGCTATTAAAAGTCTAAAGAGTCAAATCTTTTCATGTTTCATTGAAATGAAAATTCAGTGATTTGAAGCTTACCAAGAGAAAACTCATAACAGAAAATGCATGTATTAGAACTGTTTTCCCCTTGCTTTAATGACTTTATTCTCAAGTTAAGAAGTAGTTCATTCAATATATAAATAGATTTGACACCAGCACTGGCTCTCTGATGATCTTGTTCATTTCTTTCTCATATTGTGGGAGCTGGGCATGCCTGGACAAAATAAATATTTCACCAAGATTTTACAATCAGTATACAGGGTTGTTGTTTTCCAGTGTATTAGCGCCTTCATTCTCTAATGCTTGTGTATGTAAACAAGACTATTCAGCTTCCCAGGAGCCCTGGTGGCACAATGGTTGAGTGCTTAGCCACTAACTGTTAAGGTCGGTAATTCACACCCACCAGCCACTTCACAGGGAAAAGATATGGCAGTCAGCAGCAACTTGACCACAAAGGGATTCCTCTTCCTCTTTGTGCTGTTCTCAGAGAGTAAGACTGACTAGAAACAAGAGGACACACAAAGATGCATTTAGACTTTATGTTTCGCCTCCATGAACATACATTCCCACTGCCCATGTTCAAACATCTGTATACAACTTTCCATTTTCCTAGTCCAACCAACTTTTCTCAAATTATCTCTCAGACTCCCAGATTGCCTCACTTTGAGTTGACCGTGATTCGTTTACTTCTGCCTGCACCTGTTTTCTGTGTAGTGAAAATTATAGTTTAAAAATACTGGAGGATAATATAATAAAATCTGTGAATGTCAGAACCTGTGTAAGGCAGAAACCTATCAGAGAAAGAAAACTCAAATATTCTCCCCTGAAACAAGAGATAGAAAAATGGTAAGACTGCACCCTGTCAAAGGTGGAAACGTTGCAAAAAGCAGAAAAACAAGACCGTTCTGTCAAGTTCTGGCTCTTTCAGGTTCCACTGTATAAATGCAGAGATACAACAAATTTCCCTTGCTCTATGAATGTAACTTTCAATTTCCACCTAGACACTCCACAGTTTTCATTACAAAGGCATTTTTATTCTTTAACTCATGTTGGACAGCTACCTAAAATGGAAATGTCATCAGCAACTATTCTGAGCACTGAACAGGATTTTAGCTATATTCTGGAAATATTCAATCAGATAGAGAACATGTTTTTCTCTAATGGATGATGGCACAGAACTGAATATGACTTGCTTAATGAAACAGAATGAATCCCATGAAGAATTCAACCTTTATTTACCAAGTTTGTGTAGTCACCCCTATGTCAGCCTCCC